GAGTGGCACTATTAGGAAGAGTGGCCTTGTTGGAGGAAGTGTGTCACTGTGGAGGTGGGCTTTGAGGTCTTATGTGCTCAAGCTACTCCCAATGCGGCACACAGTCTCCTTCTGCTGCCTGCAGATCAAGATGTAGGACTCTCAGCTCCTCCTCCAGCACCATGTCTGCCTGCATGCTACCATGCTTCCCACCATGATGACAATGGACTGAACCTCTGAAACTGTAAGCCAGTACCAGTTAAATGTTTTCCTTTATAAGAGTTGCCGTGGCCATGGTGTCTCCTCACAGCAACAGAAACCCTAAGATCCTCTCCAACAGTGCTTCCCAGAGCACAGCTGGCAATGCCAGAACAAGTTTGTTTTGGAGATCCTGGTGATCCCAGAGAAGAGAGGATTGGGAATAAGAGGTAGGAGTCCATGAGCCAGCACACTGAGCTGCCATCACGGCTCTCGCCAGCCACCAGCGCCCGGATCTTGTTTAGGATCCGCTTTGTTGAAAGCCAACAGAATTCAAACCTCTCTGGTTCTCTTTTGGCCCACAATCTCGCTAGCTAGCAGTTAGTTTTAGGACCTTTGGGTTGCACAACAGAAACCAACTCTAGCTCGTGAAACAAAAAAAGGATGTGGAGTAAATCTCAGAAGTAAAGCTAAGAGAACTTGGCCAAAACCATCCCAGCAAAGGGGCAGAGATCACAGAGAGTCTGGGAACCTGGATACAGAGCTGGAATCAGGGAGTGATTTCATGAGACCACATCCATTAGAGGAAGGCTGTAGCATGTTCAGTCTTGAGTTCGCTGGCCTGGTCTCAATGAGAGAGTGTCTTATGGGTCTAGACTGGGTGATTCACTCAGCCCTAGGCCAGCGAAGGCAGAATATCTTGACTGACAGTATGACTGGGGCTATAGCCAGAGTGAGAAGAGCAGCTCATTACAAACCCAGGTTATGGATAGCCAGTATGGCTGGGAAAGGAAGGACAGCCAATGACAATCAGCATCTGAGATTGGGTTTTCCCAGAAGCCAACCCTAAGAACAGGGGTCAAGAACAAGTGGCTTAGTTGAAGAGAAGCATCTATGTTGAGAAGAAAAGTAAAAAGGGGAAAGAAAGGAGGACAATATAGGACAGCTGACAGGTGGGTTTCCTCCTGGGCATTGGGACCCATCGTGGACCTCCTGGGCATTGGGACCCATCATGGACCTCCAAGAGAGTATGTTGCATATACCTCAGTTGTTCCAGAAGAGGAGAGGAGGGTTGGGGTTTTCCACTCTAGGTCCTATTCATCCTTGGTTGAGGCTGACCCAGAGCATAAACTCCATAAAACTCCCAGCATGCTCAGTGTATGAATCAAGCACTCTCCAACAGCCTTAGGATACCCTAAAGTGGAGAGTCCTATGAGCTTGTAGCCAGATCTGAGACCTTTGAGTGTAGACATGAACCAGTACCACAATGTAAACCAGGCATGCATATACCAGGGCAATAGCCATGATGGGGGTCGCCTGGGATGCTTGAAGCCTGACAGGGATGGGAACTGCCATGCAGCTTCCTTGGGGAAGAGGCAATTTTGGAGAGAAGAGAAGAGGAAGGCCCTGTGAGGACACAATGGGGAGGCTGCTTCTGAGTGTCCATTCTTACTAGTGAGAAATGGAAACAAAAGGTTTGGAGATCTGGAGGAGAAGGGCCGAGAGTTAAACCAGCTCTGCAGCTTTCCAGGGAAAAGTAGAACAAAGGCAGTGGGCAGCAGGCAGCGAGCAGCAGGCAGCAGGCCCAACAAGATGGGCAAGTAAGGCTGGTCGCAGGGTGTTAGACCAAGAGCTCAGTCATGCACCAAAGCGCCCACTGATACCAACTCCACTTTGCACATCATGGTCCCTGCTTTCAGGCCAAGGCATCCTGGCAGGAAATGGTGCTTCTCTGGTCTCTGCCTCCCACCCTGACCGCTTCTCCTTCCATTATATCCCTGAAGCCCTCATTTCTCCTCTTCAAACAGGCCAAGTCCCCTCCTGCCCCGGGGCCTTTCTACTTCAAATTCTCTCTGCCTGGAATGCTCTTCCCTCAGATCTGCACAGGATGCCCCCATTTTATCATTCAGGTCACGGGTCATATTCCCCACAGGGTCTTCCCTTTACTCTTCCATCCCAAGTAGATGCCACCAGTCTCTCCAGCAGCCCGCCCTAGTGACCTCCCTCGTCACACTGTGTCTGCTTCTCCCAAGGACTGTCTGCTTCTGCACCCTCTTCGTCCCCACACCAGAACAACGGGGTTGGGGAGCAGGGCCACATCTGGTCCCCTCTCTAGAGTCTTTACAAAGCCTGTCAGGACAGATGCCCAGTCTACTTTTCCTGGCTGATTAAATACAATATAAAAATGCCCTTTCATTCCAAAATGATACCCCCTGCCTTTTTGTATAAGAATATTCACTGAACACACAGCCTAGACAATAAAAAAAAAAAAGCTTACTGGGGAAAAGAAAGGCTTTTTGGTGGCTGTTAACGTCTAATATAATAGACACATGGGCCCACAGGCCTGCATCCCAGGGTCCAGCCAGTGGCTCACATCATTCTCTCTTACGCTTTTAAGTTATAAATATTTCAAACTGCAGAATGGACTGGTTTCTCCATTCATCTTTTAGAAAGAACAACAAAAGCATATTTCTTTCTTGAAACCAAAGCCTCCAATGAATCCCGAACAAGACTGTTTGAGGCTCTACCTCGGCATGAAAGGTGGATCTTCAGCTGTCTGTTGTTCCCAACAAAGCAGGGCCACAGTGGCATTCGTGACCCTGGCAGTTTTCTCACACAGTGTGCGGCTGTCTTGCCAGGCGCCCGTTCCCCCTTTTTAGGCCAACACAACAATCCACTTCAGCACATTTACTTGGTCCCTCATGTAGTTTGGAGCATCCATGTCAAGAAACAACTTTCTAATCACTGTTAAGGTAAAACCTATTTCTAGACTGTTAATAGAATACTGGATACATACGGACAGCTTAGAAATTTCTGTGAGCTAAGGGTATAGTTAATGAGGTATAAAGTCCTGGGTTCAACAGGTTCCCCTAGCCACACACACACTTTTTGTAAACTTCCATGGCTGATATAATTTCTATTTTATAGAATTTGGAGTGTGTGTGTGTATGTGTGTGTCTGTGTGCATGAGCATGTGTGTGAGTGTTCATGTGTGTGCAGTTTCACAAACATGTGCTTGGGTATGTATGTGGAGACTAGAGGACAATGTTGTTGTTCAGGTATGGCCTACCTTGTTTTTAGACAGGGCCTCTCACTGGATTAGAGTTTACCTGGCCAGCAAGTCCTAGGGATCCACCTGTGTCTGCCTCCCCAGCATGCACATGCCTGGCTTTCTGTGCAGTCTGGGTAATTGAACTGAATGAAGCTTGTGCTTGCAAAATCAAGTCATCCTTGCAGCCCCACCCCCATCATGCAAACATCCGAATGTAGACAGTTTCCTTGTAATAGGACATCACAAATAACCAGGTGGGAAGTGGAAAGGGAGCCATGAAGTCAAGGCTGCCAATGGGAAGGGTGCTCTTCTATCTGTTTCCAGGCAGGGCTAGCAGAGCTGAATTCCACTGGGCAACTTTAGGAGTGAGAATAGAGCCCATGCCTGAGTTAGCCCGGCCCTACTGGTGTTGACTCACCCACTGCTGTCAGTCAATGGGAGGTGGCTACTCCAAGGGTTCACTTTGGAGGCCAAGGATGTCCTCAGGAAAAGAAGTCCATGGGGCATTTGGAAGTCAGTCACAGAAATACATGGAAATGTCCAGGGTAAAGAGGATACAGGCAGAGCAATGATGCTGTCTGCTGCAGTGTATGCACCAAGTGTTCATTTGTGTAAGACGCCCCAAAACTTTTTCACCCAGGAAGTGCAATTTTCCATCAAGTTGCCAAAAGCTAATTTTCATGCTACTTTGTAAACGCTGGTTTAGAAGTTAGTGAGCCCGGGCTAGGGCACAGTTATGCCAGCCTAAGGATCTGAGTTCAGATGCACAGCACCATGTACGAAGCTGGGCACAGGGGCACACTCCTGTAATCCCGGTGCTGGGAAGGAGTGTGGGGGTGATGCAGCCTGACTTCTGGAGCTCACTGGCCAGGCAGTCTAGCCAGGTGGTAGGAGGGTTCAGTGAGAGACCTTGTCTCCAGAACATTGTAGAGATGCAATTGAAGAGGTCACCCATTTTCTACTCTACCCTCATACATGCATGTACACCAATACAAATGTATACAAACATGCATACACACATGTAAGAAACTAGTGAAGTAGTCCAACAGGCACTTATTGACTAAATACACACACACACACACACACACACACACACACACACACACACACACACACACACTTACTTCAGGACCAGCTTTTGAGGGACCCCAAACTTACAATTTCTCATCAATTCATATCTAACAAAACCCTCAGCCACACAAGCACACACGTGTGCTAGGAATGGAATGAATGACCCACTGTCATCAACTAGCTTTGTTTTCCGTGTGAAACCCAGACACCATCTGAGATCTTAATGAATCTATCCACAGCATGCTGAGTCTAGTACGGGGGACCACGACTCTAATCCCCACACTTAGGAGGCTGAGGCAGGAGGATCAAAAGCTGAAGCACAGACTGTGCTGCAAAGATCCTGTCTCAAAAACAAGCAAATAATGAAGCATGCTGAAGAGCATGTCCCTTCCTAAAAGAGGGTGTTGTGGTGACCATTAAGGGAGCATCCTTGGGGGCTGGAGAAATGGCTCAGTGGTTAAGAGCACTGACTGTTCTGCCAGAGGACCCAGGTTCAATTCCCAGCACCCGTAGGGCAGCTCACAACTGTCTGTAACTCTAGCTCCAGGGAATCCAATGCTCTCATACAGACACACATGCAGGCAAAACACCAATGAAAATAAAATAAAAATAAATATTTAAAAAAGAGAGAGAGAGCATCCTTGTTCTCAGCACGGCTGACCCACGGCCCTATTAATTAGACAAGGGATATGGTGCAAGCAAAATAAAAGCATTTTAATGGAGGTCATTGGCAATGCCAGACAGGTCAACTATGATCTAATCCAAACGGGAACCCATCTCAAGGCACTTCTCCTACACTGGTCCCAGATACTTCCTTCCTTCGAGCCCTGGCTTTTTAAGAGCCCTTCTCTCCCAGTTTCTTGTCGGCCTTTGTCTTCCCAATCACAGTCTCCACAATTACAGAGGTTTCTTCGTACGTCTGAATACTCTCTGTTGAAATCTTCTCAATAGATTCCACCACCTCTACCTTCTTAAAAGCTAAAGCCTTAGAAGGGATTTTTGCTGGCAGGCTACTGCTCTTACTACTGGGCCCCTCTGGTCCATCCTGATTGGACCCAGATGTTTGTGAATGGGATGTAGATGGTCCATCAGGACCAGGTATGATCACGGGACAGGGTCGCCTGGGCCCCTCATCTTCCTTCTGGCCATCATCATCTTTTTCTTCCAGGTCTTTTGGTTCCTTGGCCCCTATCCCATTCTTATCTGTAACCTGCTGGTGGTTTGAATGGTCACCTTCCCTGCCCTGGGGAGCCCCCTGTCCATTCTCCACAGGTGGCATGGGCTGCCCAGGAGAGGGCTCCACGTAGCCATCATGATGCATGGAGTCTTCCTCAATGGAAACCACCACCCCACCTCTAGCTGGGATGGAGGAGGAGTAGAACTCAGGGTCCACAAAACTGGCATCCCCTGTGACCAGTATATGTCGTCCTTTGGTGAAGAGGTCAGCGGGAGGCTCTGGCACAGGCTCTTTGGGGCCACTCACTCTCTCTTTGATCACTTTACACAGCTTCCCAAAGGCTTTGCTTATCTGGCCCCCATCTGGTACGTCCTCAGGACCCCCTTCTTGTGTTGGACTTACTTCCTGTCCACCCCTTGGTCCCAGCTGAGAATCACTGTCTGCTTGAAGCTCCACCTGCGCTGGGTTTGGCTCTTGCAGAGTTTTTAATTGCGCGTCTTCCAGAGTTTCGTCCACCTTGTCTTGAGCTATAATCTCCTTCCTTTTCGGAAGGCTCTTGGGGAGGACCTTTTGTCTTGGTTTAGCTGCTGTGATGTCCTGCACAGCCCTGGTGAGATCTAAGGAAAAGCACACAGGCAGTAAGCCAACACACGTGTCAATGAGAGGGAATGACGACATTCATTGAAAAACATGACAGCTGAACTGAAGGGGAGTGTCCAGCCATAGGCTGAACCAAAAACGATGGGAAAGAGCCGTGGATCTCTCATTCATGCTGAGGTCCCAGCCCAACCAGTTGGGAACCTTGGCATGAGTCATATGATCTGGGTTTCCCAAAGGGGAGGAAAGGTGCCACTTTTCCTGGCACTCACTGTTCACCCTCAGCTGGAATAACACAGAGAGACACCAAGCCGGAACAGCTCCAGCCTCAGTTCCATCCCCCTCCTGGACTTACAGCGGGGTACCTGGATCCAGAGTACACAGTGGGAACTCACTCCACACAGTCAACTCGCTAACTCTCTCAAAAGAAGCCCATGGCAAGGCTGCTGGGCCTATGTCAGGTTCAGGTGGCTTTGGGCTTAGAGACAGCATCTACCTACAGTGTCCCAACAACCTAACTGTGAATTAGTTTGCCATTGAATGCCTTGATTGCCATTCCCTTCATTTGAGGCTGAGAGGAGAATCAATGCTATCAAATTCAAAAATGGATACATATCTGCCTTTCTTCTGTAGCTGAATGTCTCATGTTGAGGCTGGCACTCCTGGGTGGGCTATCCCCCACGAACTTTTCTCTTTATAACTTCTTGGCTCAGTTACATATTCTATTCAAGGGAGCATATCGAAGAGAAAGGGGAGACAATCTCCCTCACATGAAAGCAATTTCTGGACTCGGGAGGTAGCTCAGTCTATAAAATACTTGTTGCACATGCATAAGGACCCGAGTTTGATTCCCAGAATCCATGAGAGGAGAAAAAAAAGAGAGAGAGGTGTGGTGGTGTGATCCAGTGCTAGGAGACAGACAGGAGAATGAGGGGTGGGCAGATGGTTGAGTAGGCAAGTTCCAGGCCAATAAGAGACAATAAATAAAGGTGGTGTGTGCCATTAATTCCAGCACTCAGAAGGCAGAGGCAAGCAGATGTCCATAGAGTTTGACGCCAACCTGGTCTACATTGCAAGTTCCAGGTCAGCCAGAGCTACAGAGTGAGCTATGTGTGTCACAAAAACAAACAAACAAAACAAAGTGAAACAAAACAGAGTGAGTGTCACCTAAGGAACACACATGCACAGCCATGTGCACCTGCACACACACATGCACAGCCATGTGCACCTGCACACACACATGCACATGCAGAATTTCCAGACCAGTTAGAAGGGAGCATGAATGGCAAGCAGGACGAAAATCACTTGCTTTTGCCCAAACAGAAGAAGAGAGCAGAGGAAGCCATGGTTGGAAGGAGGAGGCCAGGCTTGAGGAGCGTTACCTTTCACACTGGATCCAAGGCTGAGAGAGGCCCCATGGCTCGGGCCGATCAGAGAGATGGGTGTCTCCATGAAAACAGAGCTCAACCTGGCAGGGAAAAAAAAAAACAAAAAAACAGAAAGAATGTGGCGCCATCTTTAAGTCATCAAAACAAACAGAGTGAGGGACAAAATGAAGTCTTGAATCCTGAGCAAAAGTGGAAAAATATAAAGAGAGAGAAAGAGAGGAGAATGAAAGAGAGAGAGAGAGAGAGAGAGAGAGAGAGAGAGAGAGAGAGAGAGAGAGAGCTTTCTCTAGAAGAAAGTGTGTGTGAATTGAACATCACAAACTGTTAACCACATAGACATTTACACACTGGCCAAGGACACTGAAGATGTTCTCATTTCTTTAAGCTCGAGCCATAAACTGTGAAAAGGCCAAGGGCACTGTACAGTGACTACTTAGACTCTAAAGCACCATTTCTTCATCAGATGGAGTCTGTGGGCTTTCATTTTTCAATTAAAGAGTAGCCAATCCAGACTGAGATATTTAGGGCCAACAAGATATTCTATATAGGATGCATAATATACAGGATAGATATATATTTAGGATATTGTATCACACATATATAGTATATGTGATAGATAGGCCATAATACATAGAATATAAGACCAAAAGTAATAGCTAGGATAAATAATACCTAACATTTCTAAGTAACATATAATACATAAATATAAAACTGTCTTAAGAAATTGAGGAAAGATGTAAGAAATTACTGGATCTAGGTGGAGTGCTCAGTAGTTGCTTATTCCATACTGTAACATGTTTATCTTTTTTTAATCTACTTCAAAATTGATATTAACAATGCAACCAAAGGAGTACACCATTGACTTTTTGGGATGCCCTTTCCCTAACACAAAAACTATGAAAAGGAGAGATGGCTCAGAGGTTGAGAGCACCGACTGCTCTTCCAGAGGTCCTGAGTTCAATTCCCAGCAACCACATGATGGCTCACAACCATCTGTAATGAGATCTGTCGCCCTCCTATGTATACATAGTAAATAAATAAATCTTTAAAAAAAAAAAAAAAACTATGAAAAGGACACTAAGTGCAGTTCTCCAATTCTTTTCACGGGTGTGCTAAAAGCATTCACAGAAACGGAAGTGTAACATGGAGCGACCCCAGGACACATGGCTCTTGCTCGAGAGAGAATAGACAAAAGCTTGCTTTTCCTGCCAAGTGTCTGTGCCCGGCACACACAGCCAAACTAGCGCACCGGGAGCAGGAGGAGCTCCGCTGTGAGGTGCTTGGAAAATGACTTCTAGTCTCATTCAACCTAAATCCAAACAAACTGGGAGGACTGGTGTTGAAGAGCACAGCTCGATGCCTGACCTGGTCTCCGGAGCTTATCTATAGATGGCTATCAGCAGCGACTCGATAGAGAGAGAGGAAATCTCCAGCATCAAGTGGGGTTATCACAGTTCTGTTATGGAGGAGACCTGCCCTGGTCCTCCCAAACAGTAATCACAAGGATAGCAGTTATCAGCAATAGCAGCAGCTCTAACCTCTTCTCGGTGCCATGCAGCGGAGGAGGCACAAACCCATGATCTCACCCGCTAGACCATCAGCTCCCAGGGCCGCAAAGCAGCCCCCTAAATGTGGCTGTTTCTGGTCAATCTACTCAACATATCAGGCATCCCTGCAACCACCCCACCACCCCTCCCGTGCTCCCTGCCCTAATCTCCAGTGCTCTGTCACACTCCCTCTGCTCCAGAGTCATGCATCTTCAAGTCAGGGGTGTTTGAGTTTCCTTGCCCGCCACATCATCTGCTCCTCCAACTGTGAACTCCACAAAAATCTGTAGAACAAGGATGTAGACAGGCCAGGGAGCCAGGCATACAGATACATGAGCATACCTGTTGCCTTCGATCTCAATGATCCGATGATACCGGTCTAGCTCATTCCTCAGGGTCTGCTGGGCCACAGCCAGCTGCCTGCAGTCATAGGACGACCTCTCCAGAGACCGTTCGGCCTCCTCTATCTCCTTCCGTAGGTTTTCGATCTGTTCGTTGTAAAGCTGTATCTCGTCATCGTAACACTCGTGAGCATGTTTAATGGCTTGTTCGAGGGCTGTTGTCTGTAGGCAAACACAAACTGCATGAAACTCGTCACATCGTCTCCCAAAGACAGATAAAAGTTAGCGTGGGGGCTGGCAAGATGGCTCATTGAGTACAAGTGCTTGCTGGGCCAGCAAGAGGACCTGAGTTCAGATCTCCAGCATCCATGCAAAAGCCAGGCATGGCCCCACATGCTGGAAAGCTCAGTGTCAGAGGATGAGACACAGGAAGATCCTAGGAGAGAGCTTGCTGGCTAGCCAGCCTACTTGAAGCGGTTAGTTTCAGGGTGAGTGGGAGACCCTGTCTCAAAAAATAAGATTAAGAGTGGTAGAGAAAGATACTTGATATCCTTTCCTAGCTTCTCTGTGCATGCCCACAGGCACATGCATCACACACACACACACACACACACACACACACACACACACTCACACACACACACACACCCTACAAATGTAAATTAAGTTTTTAAAGATGCAGTAGGAATACCAGAGAAGGTCATTTTACATTACTTTCAAGAGCTTCTGGGGGTGTGAACAGCCTGCATATGAACTTAATGATAAACTTACTATATGTGATAAGACTCTTAAAAATCTCATGTCAATGAACTATGAACCAAAGGCTGAGGGGCTCCCAGCTGGATCAGGCCCTCTGAATAGGTGAGACAGTTGATTGGCTTGATCAGTTTGGGAGGCATTTAGGCAGTGGGACCAAGTCCTGTGCTCATTCCATGAGTTGGCTGTTGGAAACCAGGAACTTATGCAGGGACACTTGGCTCAGTCTGGGAGGAAGGGACTGGACCTCCCTGGACTGAGTCTACCAAGTCGATCACAGTCCTCGGGGGAGGACTTGTCCTGGAGGAGGTGGGAATGGAGGGTGGGCTGGGGGTAAGGGGAGGGCGTGGGAGGGGGGAGAATAGGGGAACCCATGGCTGATATGTAGAACTGAATGGCATTGTAAAATAAAAAATATATATCACAAAAAAAAAAAAAATCTCATGTCAAGAAGAAAAAGATTTGACATGCATGGGCCTTAAAAAAAATGAAAGAGGACTCCTGCCTCTACCAAGAGCGATACTTCTCACACTGCTCCGTGTGTCCGAGCTGCCAGGCCTGGGCAGACAGGGATTCTGACTCTAGGGTGGAGCTAACAAACTACGTCGCTAACTGGCTCCCATGGGATGCTCAGGGCCACGGTTCATGGATCATGCTTGACATTACAGAGGGCTAGACAGACATCTATACCCAACTCCAGGCTTGTGCACTTCAAGGTGTTCCCTGCATCCAAGCATAAGCGTGCACCCTGGACAGCCTGGTGATAATCATTGCCAAGACAATGGGACTCTTCCATCAGGGGCAATATTTGGAAACTTAACGTAGAAAGGTGTCTGGGAAAATATTCATTGCATCAGAAGGATGGATGGATAAGGGAGCAGGCACATGGATTGAACCATTTTATGAATGTGTACGTGTGGCTCAGGAAGGATATTTGTATATATGGTGTTGTGAGGCGTGTGTGTATATGTATGTGTGGTGTGAAGATGTTTGATATGTGTGTGGTATACTGTGTGTGACATTTGTATGTGTGTATGGGTGTATATGTGAGGAGTATGTACATGTGTCTATATGTATGTGTTGGGTGTGTGATGTATGTGGGTATATGGTGTGTGTGTTCATGTGTGATCTGTGTAATATGTGTGGTGTGTATGTATGGTATGTGTGATGTGTGTATGTGGGGGGGTATGTATGTTGTATGTGTATATGTGGGGGGTGGTATGGGGTGTGGTGTATGTACTGAGTGTGTGGCTTGTGGACCCATGGACATATGCTGAGGCCAAAACAGAATGGCAGATGTCTTCCTCCATCACTCTCTACCTTATTATCTTAAAAAATGTCTCACTAAACCAGAAGCTCATCATTTGGTGAGGCAGCTGGCTAGCAAGCTCTTGAGACCTGCCTGCCTCCACCCTGCAATATAGAGAGCGTGGAACCAGAACTGAAGCCAGCTCAGGAGAGCCCATCATGTGCCTTGTCCCCTGGGACTTCAAAGAGGGATATCTCCAAAACAGTGAAGTGGAGGCAGGCTCCAGACTACTAAGAGGACATGCCAGTGGGGGCCTGGGGCTGCCACGCTGAAGCAGTGACCTTTTGGAATGTACATGGAGAAGCTGAGAGAGGCCTGTCTTCAGACAGAGAAATGAAACCAAAGAGGGAAGATAAGCAGAGATGTAGGAGCCTGTACCATAAGAAGAGGAAGGAGGGAGATGGGGAGCCGGTGCCTTGGATCCCGGTTCCTGGTCCCTGCTGCATACCTGTTCTCATACCTGCATACCTGTAAGCTTCCTGTTAGAATCAGTTC